TGTGTGTGTGTGTGTGAGTGTGAGTGTGTGTGTGTGTTTGCGTATCCTGAACAAACACTCAAAAGTAGATGAGAGACAGCGCGCTGGCTCAAACCATGTTATGGTTCTAAGCATTTACATGCATTATGATGTACAACTGAAATGAAACTCATTCATTGAAATTGCCTTTCAAATATTTTATGATAAATAGCCTAACTTGAGACTTTTTAAAATTATTGTTTTTAATCATGCAAAAATGCTATCTATGAGTAATTCAACCTACATTTGGATCCACCCAAAACAACTAATTGTGGTATAAAAATAGGCCTACCACATTTTCACTTTGTTCAGTATAAAGCATTTACAGTCAAGCTGTTAAGCAAGTACCTAAACCACTAAAAGTTCACACTGGAGGTTTAGTGAATAATTAAACTATGTATGAAAAACTGCAGTCAGCTGACTGGTGCAAGAGGAATAACTGTGACAACTCAGTATCTTGGTAGGCTATATATGGGATTTTGAGTAATAAACTTTGGTAAATTTGTTCAGCCATGCAATAGGTTTTATTGCACACGATGCTGATAATGTTGGTCTTAATATCCGCTGCTTGGTAAATGACCTGCTTTGGTTTACTTTAGCGAACTGACTAATAGATCCCTTGGAAATGAGGAAATAATACACTCTAAAAAATGCTGGGTTAAATTCAACCCAGTGCTGGGTAAAATAGGGACAAACCCAGCAATTGGGCTGTTTTGACCCAGCAGTTGGGTTAAATGTTTAACCCAACCTTCTGGGTAGTAACCCAACCGCTGGGTCAAAACAACCAAATTGCTGGGTTTGTCCCTATTTTACCCAGCACTGGGTTGTATTTAACCCAGCATTTTTTAGAGTGTATTATTTCCTCATTTCCAATTTGACAACTTTGTAGCCTACTGTACATTTGTTTACATGTATGCAGTCATGATCTACTTGTTAAGAAATTAATAGCTTATATGTTGATATAGGTTATGTAGGTTTTTTTCTTCATGTTCTGTTGTCCGCTGTATCATCTTGTTCTGTCGTTTATCAAAGACTGTTTCTGCTTTAGTTACCAATAGTCAGAAGC